AAACCGTCGCTCAACTCAACAGCCGGTGTTTGTTCCCCATACACTTTCAACTCTGCGCCTTGCACTGAATACAACTGCCTAGTTTTTGTGGTGTCAACTGGTACATCCAATTCACCAACAGTGGCACACGTCACACAAGCACCAGAATCAACCATGAACCAAACAAACTCATCGCTGTGGTAGGGACGCACAACTGAAATGGAATCTCGCACTGTCATGATCATGTTGTGTTCATTTGTGTGATGCACATGTGTATGCGTGTCGCTACCGCGCTCGCGGACGGAACCTATCGAAACCTTGTCGGCGCTCGGGCTTGATTCTGGTTCCTCACGGACCTCGGAGACCTTCCAATGGCATTCTGCAGCTATGTGTCCATACTTCTTGCAAATGTGACATTGTTTTCCTGCACTTGCCTGTTTGCCTTTCTCACCTTTGTTGCTACTCCCTCCCTTGGGGTTGCCTTGTTGCTGGCTTGAACCTTTCCAAGTCGGTGTCCACGATTGTTGGTTCCAAGACCCTTTTGCTGGATCCCCTTTTTCGGTTTTCGTTTTGCCTTTCTTGCCTTTGCCTCCCTTGCCTTTGTCATTGACTCCGCCTATGTCCATGGGGGCCACTCCTGAGCCCTCTTTGGGTCTTGCCGCATTTGTTACGCCGAATTGCACTCCTTGAGGAGTTGCGCGCACTCAGGTACCGCTCTATGTACGTGCGGACTTTCATGTAGGAATCAAGTGAGTCAGCATGCATGAAAATGGACTGTTGAAGCTCTTTTGGTGCAACATGAACAAGAACCGACAACCTTTCATCTTCGTCAATTTTCTTTTTGAATTGCCGTTCGAATTCGCGAATTTCAGATTCCCACTGATAAAACGCTTCACTCCATTTCGCAAGGTCTGTTGGGAAATTTAGGTTTGTCAAGTGCTTGCGCCACACCCAGGCTTTCGACTTGTGAGCGGGTTCATTTGTTTTCACCAACCTACGCCACATTTCCAATCCATTTCCTTCAGGGGCATGCTGCGCCATTCCCATGACACAATCAGGCGCATAACCCATCAAAATGGTCAAAAAGGGTCGGCTCAATCGCACTTCACTGTCGGACAGTTCATCGTGCTCTATCGGTGTTGCTGATTGCTCTGCTTTTTCCAACGGTGCGGAATACGCAGTATTCACAGTGGAAGCCCACGCAAGGAAAATGTACTTCCACCGCTCCCAACTTTCACGTTTACCATCAAACAACGGTTGTTCGGCTCTTACCCTGCCCAACTCATTGCGTGTCTCTGTCAAGGCTACACTTTGCTGTTCAAACGCCGTTTGTGCTCTTTGCAGCATTCAGCGTTGTTTGTTGTGATCTCAACTGTTCGTTCCATTACTTCGAAAGGAAGAACAAAAGGACGAAAACAACCACGCAGGTGACTTGCAGCAGTTCTGACTTGTAAACTCCAATTGGGCTCAGCAAAAAACCTACAAGACACTGTGCGAACGGAGTCTACGGGCAAACTACCTCAAAGTCGGCAATCAGGCGGTATCACCCAGCGCGTTGATACCGACGCCGCTTTGGGCTCAGTTGATCTCTGCCTTCGCAGTGTTCTCATCTAACTCTTCTTTCACTCTGGTTCGGGTTCTTCGGCTCAGGCTCAAACCCCTCAACTTCCACTTTTGGTACTACTTTCGCTTGATCACTTTCAGCTCGGACTGGGCCTTTGCGGGCACTCCAGGATTCTGTTACTGCTCGCCTGGCTTCTGCACGTGTCTCCCGCTGAAGGTTGTTCCACACACGGCGATATACTCCACCGATTTCACCTTCCAAAGGGCAAGACAAACGTACAGCAGGTGCCAAGAAAGCACTGTAATCCACCGGTTCACTGCTAGTAGTGTGGCTTGCTGAGCGTTCACTATCACAAGCAGCTGCGGACTGACCAAATGCAGGAATTTCTTGTTCCACCTCTTGGTTGTCTTCTTCTTCTCGCTTCTGTCTTTGCAAGTCTCTTTCCCACCATCTGGCAATTCCTCTCAACAAACGATTTTCAACTGCTCGTGCTGATCTCGTCCTAGAAGATTTTGAAGAAGTTGTCCCAGGCGTGGTCACAAGCGGTGTCACCCGCCGCGAAGAACGCGTTATTACACGCGCGCGAAGCTGGCCCTGGGGAGAAAGAACCAGCTCCGCTACCATGCGAAGCGCTCGAGGTCTTTTTCTCGAACGCTGAAAGGGGCTGCGTATATTGGGTTCAAATTAACCGTACAAGTGTAAACTGTAAACACAAGTGGTCCAACTCTTGAAACGATGCAATGGGGTACGTTTCTCAGGGTATCGCATTCAGTCGGGGATCAACATGGACCTGGTTGTGGTGGGCCTGAAATATTAATCGCTTGGTATGTGGCAGCGGCACCCCACAGCGGCACCAGCATGCAGGCCCCAAACTGCACACGCCTTGAGGTTAAACTCCAATAGCTCCCACTAGATGGTGCAATGCGCAACAAGCGGCGCCAACAATCCACGTGGCCGAAGGCAGCCAAGAAGATACCACCGGCACCGGAACTGTTTGCGTCGTTTCCGTGATTGTTGGCACGAAAATGTGCCAATGCCAGAAAGCTGACCCCAAGTGGACACGTTCTCCTACCCATGGAAGCGGGATATGCACCAACTGGAAACGGCCTAACGTTTAAATTTCGCGTTGGGATATGTGACTGTGGTAAGGCGAGAAAAAAGGAACAACCAAAAAAATATATATCAGGCACATGTCTTTTCAAACTGGTCATGGTTTCATGTTGCAGTCATGGTCCCAGCCCCGTCATTGGTGCAGAAGAGGTTTGGTTCCCAAGTGAGTGTTTTCATCCCTGTCAGGATTGTGGATTTTACGTGTCCGTGAGGGCAGCGTGACGCGTCTACGACCTAATTTCAACCATTCTTTTGCCACTGCGCCTCTGAGATTGCAGCCCCGTACAGGTCTGCGCCTTAAAGACCCAACTGTGGCACCACCGCCGTTTGAACAGCCCCCACAACTCACGAAGTCCACCCCTTTTTCTGGTAATGGGTTGTTTGTTCCAAAAGCGCTGCTTTTGGGCCAGGTTTCACAAATGCGTTTTTGATGTAGTTATGTTGTGACCACTTGCTTGCCGTGCCGCATGCCATTCCGCAGCAAGGCCCGGTGAACACGGAAGGGTTTCTAAAATAGAATTCAAGAAAAACACAGTCGATGAATGGCAAGGAGGTAAACAAAATGGGATGATGGCAACCCTCCTGCGTGCTTCCATTGGTATTTGTCAATGGCATCGAAGTGGCGAAGCAGGCCCGGAAGGAAGATGCAGATGTGTAAGCATTGTTTTGCGATTCGAAGAGGTCTAGTGTTAGTGACGCAGGTGGCCACCAAAACCATGAACCTTGAACCGTGCCAAACTCCATATCACGATGAAGGAAGACTGAGCGACTCCAAAACAATATAGTTTGAAGCAGTGATGACATTCTTTAATTTGTTTGGGGGACACTTGTGTAGCCATTCTTGCCACATCGTGTTTGCCCCCATCCATGACGCCAGGCGCTTGGTTGAGGGCAGCTCCTTCGCGTACGCGCGCCGCCGTGCGCGAGCCGAGCTCGGCGTCGCGATGGCGGCGGAAGTGCGGAAGGGGCGTTGGGAAGCTGCGCTGAGCTTAAAGCTGCTGGGCAAAACTGGGCCAACCAGATGAACCCAACAAATGTTGTTGCAGACATTACTGCATCCGGCCGGGACATTACTGATGGTGTTTTCAGTGATTTCAGTCGACATCCCGGATAAAAATAGGGGCACCTTCAATAGTCACACTCATTTGCTGGGAGGCTGACATTTTCAAGCTACGGGACCTGTAGGGCCCGTGGGTAGTGCAGGTTGTTTTGTGGCAACTTGGAAGTGGCAAGCCCTAAAGGCACTCCAACCTGTCATCCGTCGATGCGATGATCTTCGCAACCAGCTTCACTGCCTGCAAGAAAGGTTTGTCGTGGCAGATGGCCTTGAGTTTGTTGTTGGAGATGGATGAACTTCGAGTGGAACGTGACTTAATTTCTTTCAATGCCAGCTTGAATGCCATCGGCAGCGCCCATCAGTGGCAGAGGGCTTTAGCATTGTTGCTCGAAACCTCATGTGCAAGGAATACCTGGAAAACAGATGTCGTAAGTTTCACTTCAGTGATGGCAGCTTGCGGTGCAGTTTCCCAATGGCAAGTGGCAATGGAGTTATTGAAGCAGACATCAACGCCAGATGTGGTTTGCTACAACACCTGCATTGCCAGCTGTGAGAATGGGAGCGCATGGCAGCAAGCTTTGGCGTTGTTTCAAGAAATGAGTGATTTGAGACTGCGGCCAACGATTGTGAGTTTCAACTCGTGTATGAGTTCGCAATCGTTGGCTTCTTTGTGGCAATTGGCCCTCCTGTGTTTCCATCAGCTGCCGCGGGCGTCGGTTCAGCCAGATATCATCACCCTTGGGACGGCAGCAGGGGCATGTGAGAAGGGAACTCAGTGGCAACTTGCACTGCATGTTTTGAACTGGCACAGCCAGCGACTAATAGACAAGGACCGAACCGGCGGTTGGCAGCAAGAAAACTGTGGGAATGTTCGGCAGCGCTTTTTGACCGGTTTATCCTTCATTCACTTTGTCACGATTGTGCCAACTTGCTTTCAGCTTGTGTGACGTGGTTGAAACCGGACCAACGCAAGCGGTCTACGAAAAACCTTCGAGCTCAAACATTAAACATTTCAAGCTAGCAGGAACATTGAAAGGTAATTTTCATTTTGGCAGGGTGCTGTATGGCTGGGTGTTTTCAAAAAGGTGTCCCTTCACATGGATCCTGGACCCTGAAGAGATGAAACCATGGATGAAACCACGCTTTTCCCTGACGCTGTGGTGTTGTGACGGGCGCAGAGAGGTCACAACAACAGTGTAGGGTCAAACTGTTGGTGTTTGATGTACTCCACGACCCCATGCCATTGGTCGCCGGCCCCGTGGGGCCGGACCCCGGGGTCGGCAGACTTGCATGTCGCCGAGAAGACGTGTTCTCGCAGCTCTGCTGGCCGGAGTGCTTCGTAGCTGCACGCAGGAAAAGGACATCTCAGATATCCTACCAGCATCTTACAACGGAAATTTGCATTTGAGACTGGGTCGGGCTGCAGGCTATTGCCATGCAGCACTAAGTCGTTTGATGTGAGGGAAGCACGTGACATCGGAAAGCCTCGTAGTTTTTCAGTCAGGCTCACTGTAAACTCCAGAAAGCCCACCACCGGCCAACCTTTGTTTCTGGATTTGACTGAGGACTTCCTCCTTCGCACTCGCTGCCCACGCCGAGGGCGAAACCGCATGCCGCGCAGCTCTGGAAGAGGGCTTGGCAGCTTGGGAGGTTGTCACGGTCAAGTGCGGCGTGTGGGTCGTGCACAGCACGCGAGTCACTGGAGTCACTGGAACCGTAGGCACCCCAGATCGAGGTTCAATACTGGGGACGCTGCTCAACGTTTCGATGGAGATGTGGAGATGTGAAGATGTGGAGTGGAACTCCCTAAGATATGTTGTCGCGGTGCCTGGTCAAGAAGGCCTTGGGAACCACGGTTTGGGTTTGGCTTTGTTTGCTCAACACAATCGACTCACAATGCTCACCATGTCGGTGCTCTGTCGACCGATGCACGTGGCGGAAACATGGGGCTGGACGAACGTGACGCGTCGACCATCTTGGCCCACTTCCAGGCACCAACTTGATGCCCAGACCAGCCTCAGATGAATTCTATTAGTCCATCACTTCGCAATATTAACAGGTGCGACGCTACTAGTAACAGGTGCCTTACTAGTAGTAAGTAAGATTCTATTGGAAATGGATTCCACAAACAACCTTTTCTCCCATCCGACCGCTCACCGAATCCCATCCCTCTCGTTCACCGCTCGCGGGCCGTCTCCGGACGCCGTTTCGCGGCCGTCTCCGTGAGGCCGTGGCCTTGGCGTACTCGGGTGCTCCGGTCTTGGCTCGCCCCTCATGGCATCAGCAGGAGCTCCTGCAGATGTTTGAGGTCTCCGAGCAGCAGTTGCCCGGTGGAGAGAGACCATAGAGACCCGCGCGGAAGCACGTGCCACCGTGGTTGGGTTGTGGGGATGAATTTGTCAGATGCTTCGTTGGACCAAAGTCCTGGTGAAGGAATCGTCAGACTGCGAGTTGATGGGCTGAACAATTTAGGAGGAGGAGACGGTGTCAGGGGATTTTTGTTGCTTGAGCAATTCTTTTGCGAGCTAGTGTCGCTCCGCAAATCTATGCAAATCTGGTCCCTCGGGCTGACTGGAGATCTGTCAAAGTGAAAAACTGTGGTGAATAGTAGGATTTTCGCATCAGTGCATTGAACCTGGGCCACTCTGAGGCTTTTGGGCTGTCAAGCCCTGGGCTTCGTCCCCTATCGCTTCGGCCATGCACTGCTTTGTGTGGTGCAAGCCTGCGATGCAGCAGCTCGGCTGTGGATGTTTTGCTGTGCCAGCGTGGCTTTGGCTTCGACATACGCACCAGACTGCAACAGTTGGGATTTCATGAAAGAGCCCCGCGCACTTGCCGCCGGCAATCGAACAGTTTCCAAGCTCGTCTCATTGTTCACTCCTTGCAATACCAAAAGGATGCCTTTTTTGTCTCCATGTCTTTTTGATTTCGCTTTCCTGCCTTCTATCATGTTCTTTCCTTAACTCGCAAGTTTTGGCGAGTTTCGTTCATTGCCGCGCTGTTTCGCGTGCGTCCGTTCTCCCGGGTTTTGGATACAGCTTGGGGGGCCGCTTCGGCTCTTCTGGTCGGTTTCCAAGCGGGCCTGACAGGAGGACCTGGTGCGAGCCCTCGCGCTTCCGGCCTTCCTAGCCGCCATGGGCGTGGAGATTCCGGCTGATCAGCAGGCGCGAAAAGACGCATGCGGAACCCCCCCCACAACTGGAGAAGAATTGTTTGCCTGAAGTGATGAGGTCAGGGTGCAGTTTCATTCAGCCTTGGGGGTGCCATGCCTACACTCCTGCGCTGCTAGCTGCTAGCTGTTAGCTTAGTCGGGCTCCACCGTAACCGTGGCCTCCAGTTTCTTTTGAATCATGGGTTCCTGTGATCAGGCCGAGATGATCATCGGTCGATTGGCCCACTGGAAGGAGATGACGCTTGGGAGCTGTTTGGGGTGTGGCTCGAACGAAGATCCAGGAATGTCCAGATTTGTTGGCCTTGCCCAATGCACCACATGCTTCGTCTTCCCAAGACGTGAGGCTCCATGTGAGGCCAAGTTTGAGCTTGTCTGGGATTCGATTCTTGCGCCCCGTGCATGTGTTCCCGCCCTCACCGTCGCCGCCCGAACCGAAGAAGCACGACGACTCGACGCCTCGGTCCGCGGCGAAGGAAGGCGGACTTCGTGGTGGCGGGCTTCGAGAGCGGCGGCACCACCAGCTTAGTTCATCACCTGCAGACCATCCCGGCCAGTCAGGGGCGGTGGGGAACGACTGATTTGGCTTGCATGTGTGGAAGTGGCCGTGCCCCAAGAAAGCCAACCTGTTCGTTTGGTGTATTTTTTTGTGGATTGGTCTTTCGGGGTTAAGGAGGGGTCGACATCAACTCACATATAGGTCATAGATCCTGTAGGACAGGACTTCGTCAGCTTTGCGAACTACGCCATGAGAAGCGTCCAACTGAGTGTGACCTGTGACCTTCGCGGCATATTGCGGCTCACCCCGGCCAGGATATCTACATGATGCCCTTTGAGTTTTCAGAGGCTTGCTTGAGAATTGGCCCCGCGTTTTCAGGGCTGAGGGTTGGAGTTTGAGTCCTTCCCACTCTCAATGATGTGTTTCCGACCTGCAAGAGTACATGGCCTGAGGGCCTCTCTGGGCCTTAGGGGAAAGAGCTGCTTAGAGAAAAACCATGACCCTGCTGCGGGTGGATTGTCAAGGGTCACCCTTTCCGGGAGCGCTGTGGAGTGATTCCATTTCCGATAAGCCTGGAATGTCAGATGCGAAGTTCACTTGCGCATGACACTGGCTTGTGGGGGCGATCCAGTGGCCAGGGGGGGGCCCAGACGGCAGGTTGGACCGCAGTCCAAATCATATCAGCGCAGTATAGTGCAGTCAACTTTCCATTTCGGCCTCTTAAGCCTTGGAGACAGTTTCCAAAAGATCTGAGCCAGGCGAATAGGTGACATGGCCTTTGAGCCACGAATCACCACAGATGATCGGATCATGTTAGACCACCTTCAACTGTTCAACTGCAGAACAAAACATCCCAAACATCATTCCCAACATCATGTCATTCATGGCACAAAAAGCTTGAACCCTCACTTCTGACTACAGCTTTCTGTGAGATCAGTGGCTTTTTCTTACAGCGACCCAACCTCGAGCCTTTTCCCGTCGTTCCTCCGCAGCGCAGCGAACGGACGAGCGGCGTTCCCTGAAGCACTACGGCTGCGGTGCTTGGAGGCTTGGAGGTGGATCCCGTGAATTGGATCCCGTTTTCTTCCCAGGGACTTGCAGGTATTCCTCAAGTTCTGGTGGTGGCCAATGGCAGTCCCATGATGAAATGCCATGCTCGTGCTGAAGACTTCAATTTGGCAAGCCGAAGTTTCGGCAAATAGAGTGGATGGAGAGACTGTTGGATGTGGTTTGAGAGGGTTCCATGGGGTTCTTTGCAAGCTGAAGTAGGTTGTTGGATGAAGAGGATCCAATCCAAGCCGAGCGGCTGAGGATTGGGCGCGTGACTTCACTCGTCCGCGTGACTTGCCGGTGCCGGAATGCGAGACGCTGGTCAGTTACTGGTGCCTTGGGGGTAGTCAGATGGACCGACTTTCATGTAAACTCTCGATGATATTTCGACCCCCAAGCTTGAAGAGGTTTTTCCAATTCAATTGGTGAGGGTTTATTCAATACTGGATATCCAGCATCCTGTTGTATAAGCCATATATATATATATATATTTGCCTCGAAAGAGTCATGCGAGTTGTTCGGTACTGTTATGCACCACACCTGACCAACACACCCTCCCCTGAACCCTCCTCACTTTAACGAATCATCGGCTACTGGAAAGATTCCAGGCAGTTTTTGTGATGGCCATGTCTTTCTGCAGGGAATGGAACCTTTGAAGGGATTTTTCAGCGAAATCCAATTCAAAGACGGAGAATCCACAAACGACCTGAAATGATCATAATTCTGACTCGTTGATGATGGCTAAAACTCCAGATTGATGGATATGTTTGACCATCCAGGTATTTTTTTTGGTGGGGGGGCATCAACAGTCAACATGGTTTTGGCCAAAGTTTGCACCTCTGACGCGTGCCTAGGCCCGCCTTCATGAGCTTTGCCTTTTGGCCCGCGGCCGAGACTGTGGAACGCTTCAACCAGCAAGCCTCACGTTGCGGGTGGCAGAAACGCATCGGCCGGGGCCTTGGGGACGGGGTTGCTGGCTTCGTTGCCAGAGAGGGGGTTCTGAATCCCTTGCGGTGGGTGGATGGTCGGTGGGTTGTGCACCCAAAAGCACGCGGAGTTATCGAACACGCTCCTCCGGCCTTGGTACCGAGCCGGAATACATGCCACACCTCCATGCACCTCAAAGCTCCCTCCGTCCCAGAGGCGTCTGGGACTCGCGCTATGCGACGCACCCCATCGCGGTGCGGAAGATCCAGGCGCTGCTGGCGGACAAAGCTTCTGCTCGGGCGGCTCGGCCAGCGGCGACGGGGGGGAGGTGAGGATGTGGGACGTTGGCGGACCAGAAGGCAACTCCAACAGCTGGGTCGGTATGTTCCTTGACTTTCTTTGCTCATTGAATTTGTAAGTGCAGACCTTTGACCCAAAGCCCCTGGTTGAATCGTTTCATTTCATCCCTTGTGACGACTCGAGGTTGGCTGGTGTCAGCCAGGGATGGGGGCGTGCAGTTAAATCCATTGAGAGGCCTACACCCGTCGTAGTTACAACACTGGCTATATTTCTTTTTCCGAACTGGGGATCGGCGGAAGATCAAAATCCTTGGGGGCGCGGGTGTGACGTTCACTTGAACGCCTCAACAAGAACTGGTTGAACCTTCAGTAGAGGTCATACACCTAGAGCCTAGGCCTGCGAGCGAAAGAGAGGGCCATCTTCACAGCAGCTCAGTTCCATCGAAATCCACCCACCTGGAATTGGCACGGCCGTGCCCCGCCCCCCATGCTGGGACCGACCTCCACCAGAACCCCTCCCCCCGCGACGCTGCGCCCCAGGTGATCCTCTGCTTCCGCGATCCCATCCGCTATGCGACTGGGAAGCCAAGCGTCGAAGCGTCCAGCCGTCCAGCGCCGACGCCTCGGGGGGGGGCGGTGGTGCAACGTGCCCAGAGTGCGTGGTTTTCTTTTGGTTGAAAACGGACCGGGGGGGGGGCAGAACTCCGGCCCTCAATGGCGCCCCCCCCGCTCTCGTTGGGGACGGCTTCTTCTCGCAAGCTTTTCGGGGGAGATGGGGAGATGGTCAGAAGAGGCTGCAGGTGGTGATCCTAACACGCATGCACGGAACAGCAAAGGTGAAGGAACGCCTGGCATGGACTCTTGGTGACCCGTGCGTAGAGAAACCTTCACACTACAGAGAAGGGCGGCATAGTTACGCAAGCTGTATTCCTTCACTTCCTACATCTGCTTCTTCTTGGGATTTGATGCCACTCGTGATGCATGGCCGCCTATAGCCACCTTTTTATCCTTCCAATGCTGGATGCCCCAAGGGCCGCCGCTGATCAGGTGGTGTCGACCTTCAACCGCTTGAGCCCGGAGCACCCGGGTGGAAGGAGCTTGTTGGCGCTAGTGGAAGGGGAGGAAGGCGATCCGGACCCCTTCGGGCTGCGCTTGTAGACGCCTGGCGCTTGGGGAGAAGGAAGCAAGTCCTGAGCGGCGGAAGGGGCTTGTGGGGTTGTCCATTGATTTCTTGAGTCACACCATGGATGACCCCCGTGGCTAGTACACCTAGTTGCTAACACACCCAGTTGCTGCCGGATTTGGGCAATTTTTGTCTCAGGAAAGGGAACTACACCTTGCTGATGCGAGACATGGCAAGAGCAGTTGGCTGGGAGCGCCTACACATGCAGCCCTTTGATTTGCTCCTGGGCGGCTACACATCGGTTTGGAGTGGACGTATTGGTCAGACAGTCCTCGAAACGAATGATCCTGGAATGTAGATGGCAAGCGGGGCAGTGGACGTATTTCTCCGGAACCTGTGTTTCTTTCGATGTGCTGAAGGTTTGCCGCAGGGGCTAACTGGATCCAACATCCAGTTCCCCCCTCGAAGGAGGCCTGATAGTGAGTGCTCGTCACCCGGGTTCGAACACATCAGGGATCCGACTGGCCTCCGCCGTCCGACTGGCCCTTCAGCTGTCCCCCGCGCTCCAGCCCCGACTCCAACGGCCACCGACCGCGAGCGCTCGCCTCGCCATGCGGCGCTGGTCGCTGCTGGCCACGGTGGTCCGTGTGGCCGCCGATCGCCGGCAGTGTCCCTACTACCAGGCGCGGGAGGAAAGCGGTCGGCGGGGGAGGTTGGAACGTGGTGAAGAGGTGACAGGGAGGTGGTGATGGAGAGGGGAAAGATTGGCATACTGGCTATGGACAGGTGACATGCCGTAACTTATGACACCGATGCCGAAGCAGCGTCATAGACAGTTCAGTAGCACCTCACAAGCAAGTGGCCTCAGCTTCGCAGCAAAAGACTCCACTTTCCATACTATCCATTGGCCCAAAAACCTTCGCCCAGCCAGCACTTTCCCCTCCTTGTATATAGCAAGTGGGCCGTTCCCAAGACACTTCGCTTCAATTCGCTTCACACACTCTCTCTCTCTCTCTCTTTCTTTTTGCTCGGAGCTCCTTGCACCGAAGCCTTCCGGGTCCCAGTCTGTCAGCGGAGCTTCATGCACTCCATACCGACCTGCCATACCGACCGAGTGCCCCTCTCTCTCTCTTTGGGTGAGGCGTCCGGCTGCATCTTGGATCAGCTGGAGAAGGTCTGCGAGGGCGAGGCCCCCGAGCTCGTGGCGCCCGCCGCGGAGGAGAACCTGTGGATGTGCTGCGCCTCGGCCGTCGAGGGATGGCGCCCGGTGCGTTGAGTGGCGCTGTCCCAAACGCACAAGCGATTGAGCTGAAGAGTTGTTTAGAGAAGATGGACGTGCACTTGAACTGTTTGGTTGAACTGTTTGGGTTGAACCTCCCAACCTCCAAACCATTGACCTTCGTGCCCCCCCAAGCCCCCCTTTCTTGTGAGGTTGCCCCGAGCCCTACGTGCCTTGTAGCCCCAACGAGTCCGACACGACCTGCGCCCCTCGGCACCCGGTCACCACGCGCGAACGCGGCCGCCGATCCGCGCCGATCGCCGGTGAAGCCTTCGGGCGAATGGAGGTGAAGACCATCGGCGCGGAGATCAAAGCCGCGGGGGAGGAGCTGTCCCTGCAGGGGCTCATGAACATCCGGGAGAAGTGCCTCGAGCAACACTGGTGTGTGGGCTGATGGGGATTTGCTGGCTCTTCTGGGTGCCTCTTCAGGCTTTGTGAGAGTTCGCGAGCTGCGAGGGGTTCCAAGTTACTGTATATCAACTCAACCCTAAAGCGTAAATACCGTTCTTCCTACATCGCCACATCCTCACCGTTGATGAGGCTTTCAGTCGACCGCCCCGGTGCCGAGGCTGCTGGACGCGGCGACCGCGTCGTGCGGCGACCTGGTCCGGGCCACCGCGCCGGCGAAGTGCGGTGAATGGCCGAAGGCCATGCCGAAGCTGACGCCCGAAGCAGATCCGTTTATGACTGGGGGGGTTGGTGGGATGTGGTTGGTGATATGGGTTGATGCTTTTTGGGGTGATATGGGTTGATGATGTGGGTGGTCACTCCCTTTTTCCTTGTGATGCAAACGGATCAATTCTTTTTGTTGGCACCGGCTGCCAGATGCTGGTCATCACTTAGAACCTCCGGTTCATCACCCCCACACGGGATGAGGATTGGTGCTGGCTCGGTCATGCGGACACTTTTGTGGTGGAACTCGGGCTAGATCACTTGAAGTCGCTGCCTTTTTTCGTCGCCGTCTGCGCCAAGTTCCCAGTTTTGCCCCGCATGGTGTGGGTCGTTGCAACCACTCCGGCGGGTGCCAGGTCAGTGTGTTGTACTGCACACGCCGAGGATGTGTGAAATGTTGACCTGGCAGTGGGAGGACGGTCAGCCGGTCAGCGTTTGGGGGGGTTCGGGGCGTTCGTTTCTGTGGAGGGGGGAGGGTTTGGGACATCAACCCCCACCTGGCGGGTCTGTGGAGTTTGTGTCGAGCTAAATAGATCACCGCGTAGCATGCATGTCCGCCGTTTGTCTGCAGGAGTTGGGCGATGGGAACGCTGCGGAGTTCGCTCAGTACGACTGTCCCATGATCCAGGAGAACCAAGCCACGGGCGGCGATGAGCGGAAGGGCCATCGCTTGAATTGGGATCCGCGTCGGAGCCGCGAGTTGTGAGCCGAGACCTCCAAAAAGGAAGCGCCCCGCGTTCCGCCGCAGCGCCGGAGAAAGGGAGGCACCAGGATCTGTCGAAGCCCCAAGAGTCGACGCCGCGACTGAGGCTTTCGGAGCCTGCCAGGGCCTCAACGGGACCCAACTTTGAATGAAACTGCTTGGCAGCGCTGTAATGAGTGGACAGCTTAGTCACGGTTGAGAGAACCGTTCCGCTCCTCCGGTTGTCCGTTGTCACAAGTCATCCATTTGTTCTGTCGATGTCTCTGTGGATCCCACATGTTTTCCACCTAACTGGGTGCCTGAGTGGAAGAAAGGGACGTCTCGTTTTGGGCACCTTTTCGCTGCCTCACCTGCTGGGTGACACACCGTCAGCTTTCTGAAGCAGACTGAGGAGGAGATGGCCCAGCTGCTGTTGGCAGTGGGCAGCCGTCACCGACCTCATGGGCCTTTGCCACATGAGAACCAAGGAGAGGGGTCGAGAGCCGAGTCGGGCGGTCCCGAGGTCAACGGCGATGTGTGGACCGGTGAAGGTATGCTGGGGCGGGTTGCCCGTTGTGGGACCAGAATGGTGGGGAACGTGTGCGGACATGGACAGTTGGTTCAAGAACATCATCCAGATTCGCACTGTTGCCTGCATCCTGGACCACAACGTGCTGGAATGCCGTGGACTGACTCACCCCCTCGCCACCAAAAAAGCAAGTAGTCCACACAGACCAAACCAAACCAAACAGCCCGGGCCCATGTGTGCAGAGCTGCTCAGGCAGTGCGAAGCGCGTGGATGTGTGCGACCTGTCAGATGAAGACCTGGCCGCTTTGGTGTTGCTGGAGCGGCTTTACACACCGGTGGCTTGGCGCATCACAGGGGTCCAGGGGGTCACCAGACCGGAGACATGCATCCTGGCAGGGACCCTCACGTAGCAGTGACGACCTCCGTTTGGAACCTCGCCGGTCCGTCGACTTAAAACCAATGGATGACGGTGGGTGAGATGCACCATGGATCACCTTTTCAACTAGGAGCGAGGACGCTACGAACGGGGCTCCTGGCCTTACTACCAGGAGCAAGAAGCTACTAGGAGATACTAGGAGCAAAGGGTCTCCCTACTTAGCACCAAGGACGCAAATTGGCCTTCCACTCGCAGCCACGGAAAGTCGGACCAACGATCCGAAGGAGTTCCGGCGGCTTCTGCGGCGCTTCGGCCGGCGCGGCTGGAGCTGGCCCGAACGGGCTGGCGCTGTCGGGCCTGATGGGGTTTGCAGGAGTTGGGGTGGCAGTGCCTCAGAAAAGAGTCCCTGCGGAGAGAGAGAGAGAGGAGAGAAAGAGAGGGAGAGCTTATGTACAGTGTTGGTTAGCGGTTAGCGCACGCCGCTGGCAGAGTCACTGACATGCACTAGATATCTACAAGTTGCTAGTTGCACAAGGCACTTGGGGAAATGCTCTTTTGTACGCTGTCAATGAGATGGCCAACCTGCGAGTCTGTTCAGCTTGAGACGCCTTCTTCGTGTTCTCAGTTGTATTTGTTTCCTTAGTCATGTGGGGATCCACCAGTGACAGCAGTAACCCGCCCGTGGTGGGGATCCACCAGTGACATGTTTTGGCCGTCAGCCATGTCATAGGTTTAGCTCATGTGCCGGCAGATCACAGGAAAGAACGTCGTGGGCAAGTAAAAGGATACAGATGAATCAGGCGAACAGACCATTCACTCAGTGCTTGCTAGCAGCACAGTACAACAGCATCTAACCATTCACTGCCATTCACTCAGTCTGTACAAGCTGGTGCCAAGCGAACGGCTTCGGCTCACCTTCCGCACCGTTCGGGGGAGTTAGACCTCCTCGCCCAGTGACGTGGTTGGTCGGTTGGTCCCCCCAAGACGCCCGCTTTTCTCGGCATGGAGAGTGCGGATGCCCATCCAGCCACTCGAAGCTTTGGGCGAGGGGCGGAATCGGTGTGTTGGATTGTGAAGGCCTGGGGAATGTGTATGTGTTACTTCTAAGTGGCTTCCTCAGACTTAGCAAGGCCACTCGTGGTGGATCCTGCTCCCACCCAGAGTCCAGCCCCAAAGTATCTTAGGCCAAGTTCTATGCTGAACCGTCACAACCCCACCTGCTGTTCATCACCACCCTCGCGTAGAAGTCCTCTCCGTCCGAAGGAAGAGAAGAAGTGGCACAAACCAACAGCTCCCGCCAGCTCCCAGAAGCAATCAACAGCTCCCGGCAGCTACACGGAAGAGACCCACAGCTACAACCCTCAAAAACCACTGGTCACTGGTAAAGGAACATCACCATCTCCAGTCTGGTCCATGCCATCAGGTGCCATGTTCACCCTCTCCCTGCAGCCACCGCTACCGCTTGGACAGCGTTTTCCACCTCCCTGCCCGCTTGGATTTGCTGCCGTCGCGTCACGTGCGCCCAGGCGAAGCGGAAGCGGTCCAGTCGCTGGGTGGAAAAGGATCGGATCTGCACGGCGACGAAGGAGTTCTGAACAGGGAGGCGATGTGCAATTGTATTGCTGAACACTCTTCGTTGATTTTCAGGGACACCCCCCCACACAACGGACAGAAGATGTGAGATGTGTAGCTGTTCTTCTCTTGTGTATTCAGCTGTTTTGGGCTTTTGGGTCCGTTGTTTGGCATCAAACACCTTGCTTGGTGAGGTCCGTTGTCTGACAGGCCAAGTCCAGAAAGATTGTTCAGACCTTTAGATCCTTCATTTCTAGTTTCCAGTTTGGTCATGAAGTGTCTCCTAACTTCCTTGGAGTTTCAAGATGTAGTTCACTTCCTTCAGCCAACCTTCTGTACTCAAACGCTTCTGACTTCTGACCACCACTCCCAAACAAGGTTTGAAACTCTCAGCGGGCCACACCTGAGGATTTCAAAGCATGTGCAAGGCATCAGCTTTGGGAGCCTCGGCGCTCAACGACCTACTGGTCGTCTAGATTTCTTGGATGTTGTGAGATGTTTCCTTCCATGTGCCGCCCTCAAAGAGAGACATACCTCAGGTTGTCAACAGCGCAATGAAAAGGGTGTGATTCAAAGGTGGTCCGCTGCATGTGTATGCAATCCTTAGCGGCCCAGGGATACAATTCCTGGTCTTAAAGGGAAGACATTCCCGACGTTTAGCAAACCGGTCTTCTAAGGGCAGTGCTCTGCATCTGCTGGTCGCGGCCAAGCAGAAAAGCCTGGACCGCGGTCGCAGCGGTCGCAGCGGTCGCGACGTCGCCCAACGGTCGCCAAGACTTGCATGGGGCCAAGGATGTTGCTAGCGTCTTGAGTCTTGATATATCAAAGCTATTTGTCATCAAGCACGTTGATCAGTATGCTGGAAACGGTCCTCGACAAGGAAGCTGAAAGATTGCGTGAGCCCCTTGGCAAACAACATGTGCATAGATCTTGTGATACCACTAGCACTTGACACAAAACAGGCCCAGTTCCCATCGCAGGTTGCTCATTCTTTTTTTTGGGGGGAGGCTTTGGAATGCTCATGGAAAGAATTCAACCATCGCCATCGGGCCATCACCACTGAAATACTGAAGATACCAATGCTTTTTCTTCTTTTGACAGGAGCCGGGCCCTGCCATGCACTCCGCCACCAGTGGCGCCTGCCGTGGCCGCTGGTTGGTTGCTCTGCGCTTGTGCCGCGGCCCAGTCATCAGTGGATCTCGTTCTTGCCTCGTCTTCACCCAAGAGCCAAAAGACCTTGTTTTTCATGGACAAAATTCCTTTTGACCGAAGCACCCAAAGAATCACTGCATATGGGGGAGGAACACTACGCGAGAACGTCTACAAACGGGTGTCTGTTCCAGCGCCAAGGATCCACCTGCTGAGCCAAAATGGTTTTCTCAAAAGATATGATCAACGTATCCGTATTATCAAAACGAGACAAAACGAGGCAAAACGGTCGTTGCTACTGCTAGCTCCCTTGTTCCTAGTAGCGTCCTCTTGTTCCTAGTAGTAAGGCCAGGAGCTACTAGCTTCTTGCTCCTAGTGGCGATGCCCTTGTTCCGATGGATCCTTTTCCGCAGATCCCGATGTGATGGCAAGAGGTGACTCCCAGATGGCAAGGTTTTGAACACATCGATGATGTGCCTTCTTTTGACCGAGCCAATTTTTGAATCTTGATGAATCAACACCCCCAATTCTTCCAGATGAAGAGGTTTTGACGCTCCAAAAAGGGGAGGGGGGGCTGTATATTGATCAACAGTCAGCTTGCCATCACCCTCCGCCTGTCCAAGCACCGCTGGTCTGACCGCTTCGGTCACGTCGTCCCAGTCCCCGTTTGCAGGCTCCACGTGGCTTGGCCCGAAGGGACGGGAGAGGGTGGAGAGGGTGGGGCGAGCTGACCGGCGGAGGGTGGGACTTCCAACGGACCTGGTGCGCCGAATCTAGCGAAGGAGGGAATGACCTCCGAGATGGCGGTGCATTTCCTTGATTCCTTGCGAAGCACCAGTCAGTCAATGCTTGCAAGGACTCTTTTTCCCTGGGCACTGGCAGTGGCAATCCACCACTGCGTAGGGAAGGAGGCCAATTCCTTCGTATTCTTCTGGTGGCACTGTCACCCCAACCACTGAGTACTCCGTTTCAACATGCTTTCATTTTTGAGGATGGCTTAGCAGCGGTGCATCACGGTTCCAAAAATTCGGACTCTTCCGTTCGACCGAACGTTGGGGCCCTCGTTCTAGCCAGGGACCACTTCCCCGAGCCCAGACCGGCACGCGTCTCGAGAGACGCAAGGAAGTGCAGCGGCTCAAGACGCAGCTGGTCTCTATCAGCGCTGGCCTCAGCGCTGAGTAGGTGGAAGTGACCCGCTGAGTTTACGTGGTGTCGTGGAAGTTGGTACACGGCTAGTCATTTATTTTTTAGTTAACAGGTATGAGAAGGAAGTGTGCTGGGGGGACGGGGACATGTTTAGTTGCTTTTTTGTTGTAGGTAGGCTGGGTGCTGATCCCTGTCAAGAATGGCTTGATAACATATTGGATGACTTGATCGATGTGGGAGAGTGGCGGCTATATAAGCCTTAAAGCGTTTTGTGTTTCGAAGACTTGACCTTCAGCCGTCGAAGACATTCAGCTAGTCAGCTAGTCTGGTGAGACGTCCATGGTGCTTCCACGGTGCAGGATCACATCACTCATACTCCCAAGGATGGGTCTCCTATCAAAACTATATGGGCTGCCGTTTCCGCAAGTATCTTGTGGGATTGGGATTGACTAACATACATACATTGTACAACTACAGCCTTTTCCAAAGCTGGAGTACGGGTTCTCAGGCCACAATACGGCCATGAGCTCTTGCAAGTGGCCAGACATTCTACGATTGGTCGTCGACATGTGGCTGGGCGTCAGGGGATCTTGACGGATGCCGTGCCTGAAAACTGCAGCCACCCACCCTAAAACCCACTTTCGATGTTTTTTTTTTGCGTGGTGAACGGGGGGGGGGCCACACTTGCCTCATGAACGGCGGGTAATACATGTAACCTCGAGGACCCCTGCAGAAATCGCAAGCACTCTACATAGACGGTTTGGTGGCTCTAAGGCTTGGAAGACCCTCCGTGACCTGCTGGGATCAGACGCATTTCACGTCATTTCATGTATATGTCTTTACCCCACAGATACCGGTGTGAATGACCAACTCCCGATTTTTCTTCACTTAAACACTTCAAGTTTTTCTATGAGGAATCATATAGACATAGATGTCTTATTATACTGTAGATGTTTTGTTAAGGCCATCCACGTCACCATGTGCACCGCTGCCTCAGGCGCCACCGGGCCCTCCAGCCGGACGCCGCGAGCCGCGCGGCGGCGGCCGGCGGCGGCGCCTGGCGCTGGGCTCTGGGCATTGGAGGTGGTGGAGGTGGGGGTGGGGGGGTCCGAAGATGAGGACATTTTTTCTGGAAAGTTCTTGCAAAACAACGTCCTGCCTTTCCCCACCCAAAAAAATATAGTCACTCTTTATTATAGTCTTTCTCAAGGTCTGGAAGCACCGGATTACAGAGAAACACACCTGCACCTCATTGGGATCCATGAATCAGCTAGTCGATGCCTCGACCGCGCCGGACCTCGCCGGTGCAGGCGACCTCGAGAGGCCGCGCCTCGCGTTCCACGCGCTGCTGGGCGCCGTTCCACGCGATGCCTGGCGGAGGGTGTTGGAGCTGCTGCGCTCGATGCGCCTCGTCCCCGAAGCGATTTGGACACATAAGAAGCATGGGTTGGTTGGTGGTGGTGGATTGCTTGGGTGATCTTGGGTGGGATGTAAGGTGGCTGTGGAGAAGACGTGAAGAAGTGCTGGGCCTGAAGACTTCTTCAAGCAAAGGATAGTTTCGACTTGGTTGGCACGTCCTGTGGCTCCACTTTTTTGTGCAGAATGTATTTGTGGAAAGGCCACCTGTGGCTACTGAGCAGTAGAGTCTAGAGTGTATCCTTTTCAGGAGACATCCTGTGCAGATCGATGGAAACCTTCCATGCCCCGAAGCCCGAACGGATGCCAGGAGGCAGGACTTGACGTGTGACAGGTTGTCAGCCACAAAGCCCGAACTTGTCGTCCCCCCCCCCAGAATTCACGGGTGACGACCGTGACTGGATCAGTCCTGCGGTTTGCATCGAACGCCCCGCCCAGAGCAACCCGCAGATTCCAAAAAAGGGAAAGGCCCGAACGGCGAACGAAGTCCTCTTGTTCCTAGTAAGGCCAGGAGCGACGTTCCTCGCGTCCGACCGCTCCGTTCGTAGCGATGCCGTTCGTTCGCTGCGAACGGAGGCGGTCCAGAGCTGACCTTACTTCGCCTCGCCTCCCAGGCCTTTGGAGGCCTTGGAGCCCGACATCGTGAGCTACAGCGCGGCCATGGGCCAGGCGAAGCAGTCCGGAACGGAACGTTCCATGCTGCGGGGGGTTCGACCCTGCATTTTACCTTTAAAAACGGCCAGGGCCAGGGCCAGACACATGATCCCTCATTGGCATGTCACCAGGCCAAGGAGTCCCTGAAAGCAGTTCCAAGATGATCCAAGTAACCTAAGTCCACCTGACGTGTTCTCCGTCCCTTTGCCCCTCCAGGCCGGACCGGCCTGGGCCCTGGCGGGCGCCCTGCTGGTGCAGGCGCGGCGCACGGGGCTCCGCCTGGACGCCCTGAGCTACACCCGAGCCATCCAGGCCTTCGGCAGCGCAGGCGCGGAGCCGAGGACGGTGAGGGATGTTGATTCGCTGCTGATGAGCTTGGAGTTGAAGGGAGGGAGTGGGAACACAAGGAAGTCAGACTTGAAGGGTTTGAGATTTTGTGGCTTGGCTCTGGTTCTCGAGTTGGTGTTTTGGTGGTTGTTTCTGGCCCTTCTCCATGCGCAGAGGGTTTTTGCCTGACTGTGATGTACTGTAGCGAATCTTTGGGCATGGGTGGATTTCAGAATTGGTGGTACCACCAGATCTTTCTAGTTCAGTTCACCTTTCTGTGCATCACCTCGCATTCCGGTCACATGGATTCGTGTCAGTGTCCTTTTGCCTTCGCGCTCAGCGCGAAGCTCACGCGCACGTGTGCGGCGCCTTTTGGGCTCAAGGGCTTGGGAGAGCAGAGATCCGAACAGGGCTGCTCGAGCAGCCTTCGGTGACGAAGCAAAGGCCCGACTTGGGGCGGAAAGTTGATCCAAGAACCATGGTGCTTCCCATGTCCCTGCTGCGAACGGCACAGAATCAGCCGATGCACCTTGGTTTGCTGAAGGTGCTGACGGTTGATGTAGGGAGTTGGTTGGGTTCAGGCTCCTGGCAAGTGTGGAGGTCACCCGCAATCATATGCGCCCTAGGAGTCCAAAGACTATTTTTTCGCACCACTGACGTAAAGGAAACCCCCCTTTTGTCGGGTAAATGGTAAGCACCATTCTTTGTCCATGGTCTCGGACCTCCAGGGTGGAACGAGATCTTTCGTCCACGGAAACAACGGAGGGTTCTCGCCCCCTGTCCACCTGCCCCGCGTCTCCCGGTGTGTTCGTCCGAAAGGATGGTGGAGCTGAAGAACGGAGAGACCTACAGTGGAGTGTTGGCCTCTTGCGATGGCTTCATGAACTTGTCGCTTGGATGGCATGAGGTATTCCTGGGGATCAATCTTCAAGAGAGCCAGTCCAAACACTAAGACAGGTGCACGTTGATGGTTGATGGTTGATGGACACGTGCACCAGTCTGGTTGATGGTTGAAAGGAATTCCAGGTGCACGTTTCTTTCTGAGACGATGGCCGCGCGACGCGTTTGCGATCCCGTGCGCGACGTGCGTGGCGAGAAGCAAGCTGAGGCACATGCGCGATATCGTGTGCACCTCCCGTGACGGCGAACGCTTTTGGAAGATCCCCGAGTGCTACGTGCGTGGAAACAGCATCAAATACCTACGTTTGCCCGATGAGGCGAGAACCGGTGCCAAAGAGATGCGGATGGTGAAGGGCAGAGGTCGGTCCGCACATTTGATGGTGTGTTTGGGTTTCTTTGGCGGTGCAGTACCTGGTAGCCATCCTGGGCATTTTGCTGCCAAAGGGCGGGTACTTGTTTGTCCCACTTCTTCTGTTCACCTCATGCCAAATGTGCGCGCCACCTCTAACATGGGCTGGGCGCTGCAAGGGCACTGCAACACCTGGGCACTTCATTTGGGCCGCGCATCTTTTGCGCGGCTTTCATCTCCGCAGGTCATTGACATGGTCAAAGACGAGCCCCAGTCTCGCAAGGACCGGCCGATCCGATCCGATCCGGATCGGGGCACGCCCCCCCCTCCGAGCCCTGGTCGTGGCGGGTTCACATGTCCAGACTCCAAGAACTGTTTTGGGGGTAGTTGTGTCGAGGTGAAGGCGTTACGGCATCCGAAGTGACTCTTTTGGTTCTAGCATGGCTTGATGTGCAGCTTGTGTTGAGGAGAACTTGCTTGTTCCCTCAATGCACTAACGGGTGTTTGGACCAATTCCCTTGTCAACGTGGCAGATCTGCCAGGAGATCCGTCAGCAGTTCAAAGCTCGTGGCCGTGGTCGCGGGGGAAAGGGCGAGGGCCGTGGCCGGGGCCGGGGCGGCCAGTCGGCGGGCCCCGGAGAGAAGCGCGCCGGTGGTGGTGGAGATAAGGCACGGAGGGGTGGGAGTGGGTGGGAAGTTGAAGGGATGTATGAGGGTTTTGTGCGAGGGATGTGTGGAACAGAAGGTCCAGGGTTGGGGGAAATGGCCATTGGCAAGTTCTTGATTTTTTCTTCCAATTCGGTTCTTTTTCTTTTTTATGTAATCTTTTTGTGCGGCTCCCGAAGTGGTCGTGACACAGGCTTTGGACGCCGCCAAGGGCGTCCAAAGGTGTGTTGTCGGCTTTTTGAATGTCCAGCTCAGCACTGTCAAGGATAAAAGTCTTTCTGCAAAGACTTGAAGGCAGAATCGACTTAACCCAAAATAGGCAACGAACAGCTTCAAACACATTCATGTGGACGATTTGGTCATCGCCTTCCCAAAACACCGGGCGAGGCCGGGAAGAAAGCTCGTGGATAAGATGCCTGATCTGCTGACAAGCGACGTTGTTACCGAAATGAGCGAATGGAGGTGGAGAAAAAGGGCTTTGCCGCTCTGCCTGGCATAGGTCTGTCAACTCTTCCGATCAATGTCACTGTTCAAGAACCCACAGTGATCATGCAGGTGCCCGGGACCCCAGTACCCCAAGGCTTGCAGGGGTCCAATTTCCTCAATAACTCAACCAACTGAAAGTCTCTATTGAGGACTTTGCTTAGGGTCACGATGGTGAGGTGGCAAAAAGCAGGTGGACTCTGTGTCCCAATTGGCACATGTTCTCCTCCGTTCCGCGGCAGTCGCCTGCTTGTTTGGTTGGAGGATCCGCGCTCAAGTCCGGACATGTTTTCCGAGACCATTTGCCAGTTGTATTTGCCAAGTTTGTTGCCTTGTTCGATGGGATTGTGTGAGTGGAAGTTAGGACGTCCCCAGAGAACCGTGAGCAAAGGACACATCGAAGATGCAGGACTTTCTTTTGAAGCATTGAAGATTGCACCATGAAAATCTCTTGTCCTTCACAGTCAGCTTTTCTTGCACTTCCACCCCTGAGTGACGAATCCGTCAAATGAGAGTGCTTACCAGCAGGAGGACAATCAAACCGCAGAATCTAAAAAGGAAGAATCCTGGAACTACCGCAGCAGTTTCCATCCCATGCGGGACCTCGCCGACCGAATGGCCGTGCGCGCCTACCGCCCCGCGCCTACCGCCGCGCGCCGTCCCGCCGCGCGTGGTCGCGCTGCGCCGAACGTCGGTGGCGACGGGGATGGCTGAAGGTGAGCCGTGATGGCCAAGGACAGGGGAAAACAAAGGGGGGCTGAGCTGGGGGAGGTTAGTGGGGTCAGTAGATTTTGGTGGAAGTTGGAGTCCTGAAGAAAGGGCGGGCTTGGAATGGCTTGGACCTGATACTGTAGCTTTCCATCTTTGGAACCTTAGGGAGGAGTTGGCAACTCCCACATCCTGCCACCCCGGATGCAAAAGATTGGACCAAAACGCTTTGGATTTCTTCCCTCCTGCTCTACTAGGGCCTCAACCGCTTTCAACGGAGGAGCCTCGCAGCCCGGTGGCGGAAGCGCTGCGGACCGGTCCGCGGCAAGCCACCTCGGTGCCCGAAAGGGTGTAACCGTGCGCCGCGCGAAAGGGGCGCCGTGCGCGGTGCGGTGCGGGGAGTTCCCAGCGGAGGGGCCGCAAGGTTGGGGTGATCAACAGGATGGAAGGCGGTGCTTGGTGGTTTGGGTTAGGTCTTGGTATAGTAGATAAACGAAAACCAAACTAACAAGGTTGGAAACCCAAGGTCTTGGTGGTAAATGAAACCACCAACAAGGTCGGAACTATACTATAAGTGGTGTTGCCTCGTCTGTGGAAGTGAGACCGTTGGATGATAGAAGCATGTTGGGCATCTCCCTTTTGTTCCGACGCCCCCCTGGCAGGTGCTGTGCCGATTGAAGGCGCCGGAAGCTTTGCAATGGCTGAGGTGGATGCAGGAACACCAGGCGGGGGACTTGTCTCTCGTGAGGGCGAACACCGTCAGAGTCAGAGACCCTTCTGGTCACTCATGGAGAATTCCTGAGCAGATCTTCAGGGTTCGCAGTATGATCACGATGGAGACGTCTCATTTGCAGAAAAACATGGTTGCAGTAAGGAATCAGGAAGGAAGCTCATGTGTTAATGATCAGTTGGCCAGAATGACCAGGGAGGTCCGTGCCTCGTCATATGATCCGATGTGGAGGTGGAGGCCAATGTCTTTCACTATAGCGCAGTGATGAGCACGTGCGAGATCCTGCGGCTGAAGGTCTTTTTGGTGGAGGTAGTTGGCTTCAAAGTCCTTGGTTCAGAGTGCTCTGACGAGTTGGGATTTTTTTTGTGGAAGCCCATGGGAGCCTTCAAAAGAGTTCTTCTTTGAAGATGAGAACTAGCTGGGGCTTGTTCCTCAGCTTCTTGAGACCACCCCGGAAGAGCTACCATCAATAGTCAGCCTTGTCAGCCATCAACTCCACCAAAGGAAGGCCAGTGAATGGCAGTCCGCGGTCGCATTGCTGGCGCAGATGCTGCAAGGGGCTGGCGCCCTGCCAGACACCGTGGTGTCTTGAAAGCATGGTGGCAAGGCGGCTCTTTTTTTGGTGAGCAGGCCCGTGGCTTTTTGGTGGGACAGGTCGTGCGGGCTGTTTTGGGAGTTTGATTTTGAGGATGCTCTGAACAGATGTCCAAGGCCTCACATATCATCGCATAAAATTTGCTTACCAGCAAAGCTGTGAGCGAAGCCCTCCTTTCAACATCATTCACCCCGGCAAAGCTGGAGCCCTGGAGGCTTCTGCTCGGATTAAAGGCGTTTGGCCTTTGGTGTGCTTCCGCCAAGGTCTGCAATGCCGCCATCAGTGCTCTGGAGAAAGGCGGTTGCTTGGTCTTTGAAGTGGCTCCACTCTGCTGGCTTCCACTCTGCTGGCTTCTTCTGTTCGTTGTTTGGAAAAAGCCATGCGACCAGGAGGTTGGCAGCTGGCGCTGGCGTTGCTGGAGGAGCTGAAGAACTTCTCGGTGGAAGCGGATGTCATCAGCAACTGGGCAGGATTTGGGGATGACGTGGAGTGGTAGGGTAGGGCAGGGTGGGCTGAGCAGGTCGTAGTCGCAGTCCCAGTTGTTTTTCTCCTTTGTGTTTCTCCCAGCGGC